GTTATGTACCTCATGGTCGGCACGCGCCCTGATCTAGCCTATCACATGCGTGATGTGAGCCAGTTCCTCGCAAACCTGGCTTGCAGGCACGAAACTTTGGGGCGAGCGCCGAGTTCGACCACTCCCCCAACCTGCACGGTTGGTGGAACTCCTGGCGCTGTCGGCGACGACTGTCGAGGTAGAAAATCCGGTGTAGGGGGCCCTGACGGTAGCTGTTGCGGCGACGTAAGCTCAATAGCTGGTAATGGAACTGCTGAAAGTTGTAGAGAGTTGCTTCAGGCTGTTAATCGTTTTCAGTGATGGTAGAGACGACGATAGCCTTGTAAACTTGGTGCAATGCATGTCGAGCCGTATTGTTCTGCTTAGTGTAATTGGCGCAACCATTGCTGTCCTTGACATGATCGCTGGAACTGGCGTTTGATAAGAGAGCCCCAGACCAATCCGCCAGACCATAGGTGCGTCGATGACTAAGTTGTTGCTTGAACGCTGGTGGCTTGCTTTAGATGTTGCAGTGGCAGCTAGAAGCTTGTCGTTGACAATAATGACGTGAAAGTGAGACTTGAAAGTCTTGTGTGAAGCGAAAACGGCATCCTGTGCCATTCACGCATAGCTAAAAGTGGCTAGACCAACTGGCATTACTAGCCGCTTAAATATATGGCTTGGAATTAACTAAATACTGCAATTAGATCTAGCACAAAGATAACAACTATGCACCCCTCTGCCTGATAAGAACAGCATATGCTGCTAAGATGCTCTCTGAGCCGAAGTTGGTGTTGAAGTCACACCTCCAAAACATATTCCTGCAAAAACTAAATCCTATGTGGTTAGGGGGCTCATTTCCAAAAGGTCCGCTAGTGCGCAAGTCAACCGCACGGGTCAATCTGCTGCTTGGTTCGAAAAATGAACCTGACGAGGAGACTCCGAATCCGGTGTCAGATCGCTCGTAGGGCCTCCAGAAGCTTCAAAAAAACAAAAAAAGAAAACGGTCTCATGTTGCCATTTGTGAACTGACTGAAGACTTTGAAAGGGTTTACCATAAGCCAATCGGAAGCGGGTCACCTTTTGCACCGGTAATATTCCCTGATGACGAGTTAGGAGAGTGTTGAATCTAGGGCTTGTCACAGAGCTAACCTCAGTACCGTACTCTTACAAACTAATTGTGAAGGGATACGGTACTCATGACTCGAAACAAATTCCTGGTAGCGACATTATTTAATAGTGTTTCTGACTGCCGTATACAATAAGAAGACAGTAGTGAGAGTCTAGCTTGCTGCTCCACTAATGCAAATCTTCCTTCCTTCCAAACTTCTTCATTTCAAGTCTACATTGTCCAAGGTTTTCTTCGTTTGCCTGTGCTCTACATCATCAGTCTATAACCATGGTGATAGTGTCAGTTTTATCCGACTAACGGCATCAAATACAGTAATTCGTCTCATTAGCGAAGTCCGAACTGGTATTCGTTTCTCAAGTGAATTGTGTGATAGAGGTGTGGTTCAGGACGAAAACAAATGAACTATCAGAGATTTGCGAACATTGTGTTAAGGGTTACAAAATTATATGATCTCGCTATTGAGGCAAACTACTGTACAAAATCAATATGCTATTGCCAAATCGCGCCTAGATTATCCTCTCCCTATTATTACTATTTATTGAGTTGTCTTTATTAAGGCTCTAACTGGATGTAGTACTGCTGATATCGGCTGATCAATCACGCGATCATACATGTAGCACCAAAATTGATCTGTAAATTTGGGCGTCGAGGCGGGGTTGTAAAGCAGGGTCCGCCAATACCGTTTAAGATCGTATTTTGGGAATAATAATAAAGATTTCAATTTTGAGTAAGCAATAGTAAATATTGTTGCAATTTAAATTTTATTGTCCAATATATTCGAGTGTTAGCCAAGCTCTTTAACTCGATTTAAGTTTATATTGTGCCTTTCAGTTTTTCTGCCGCAATTATTCTGGCATAATTATTTTCCCCCTCTCGGCCTTAATTATGCTCTATCGTCTTCTAATTCCATGTTAATTATGGGTTGCCTCATTTCCGACAGTTTTAGGGGATGGTGAGCCTGCTTTAAGACGGAATAAGATTATCAAGCCTGAGTGAGATGGATTTTAAGGCGTTTGGAGGGTTGCTGGCCGCCACCCCGGCTGTAGCCAGGCGTATCCCCGCCTATTGAATCTAACATGTTGGTGGGGAAGAGTTCGCAATCTTACGCTTAATTAGCATATAACGTGTGCTGACAGCCTTCTTATGAATCTAATTCCGGCAGAATTAACACTCTACCCGCCAAAACAAGTGGAAGGCACAATATGTAGTATAGAACATGGAAAGCCAGTGAGAGACAAAATCTTTCACAATGTATAGGTGTCATTTCGTGTGATATCGCATTCTGGTTTCGTTACATAGTACTATAGTTTATTGAGGGACGTTACAAAAAAAAGCAAGTCTAGCAGTACCGTAGAATCAAACCCTATCGAGTACGACGAATATCACGATATACCAGCTCCAGACCATATTTTTATATGTACATGCAATAGATCCTTGTTGCCCTGTACTCCCATCGTATTTAACAAATCTGAGGAATTGTAGAACATATCTGAATCAGATAATCTGATTCTAGTTGAAGAAATGTGACGTCGGTTCTGTCATCCCTAATCAGCAATGACGTCGATTTTGTCATCCCTAAGCAACTTCAACCACCCCCATTTTATTTTGTTTTACAGCTCCTGTCAAGATCACTCTACAGTACATGCATTCTATAACCAATATTCTGGCACATTTTAAACATTATCTGAAAAGTGCATGTTAAAAAACACAGTCTTATCTTTGCTACTTCACTTCAACATGTAGACGAGTTTTGCACGATGCCAACCCACTTTCTTTCTACGTTTGAAAAGTTCTCAATGAAAACGTGCCACATGAAATACTGTCATGATGAACTGTACGGTCCGGCTGCACAATGATACTTGTGGAACCACTTTGTGGTCAAACGTCCACCGATTGGATGTAGCAGTTATACGTCGCTTGAAGATCGGCAAGGAACGAGCACTAAGTACGGAGTCAGTAGAAATTCCATGGTACGGTGTCGATTTTAATGCGCACACAATTCTACATGGTAAGCTCGCGGGCTCAACTGGGTATTTAAATGCTCGTAGTGCATCCCAAAAGGGTGAGCATATACTAGTATGTATTTGATGTGGAATTGTAATGCTAGATACATTTTGGACATGAATTGTAAATGCATCTGTGCACATGCTTTTGCTAGTTGGAGGAAGCGTCCATCATTTGCTGCGCATCTCCTGAGACCAGACCCCCACCGTGGGGCCTCACGCTGGCTATGAGTCGTTGCCAACGAAGACTCTTACATGTACTTGAAGTAATTGCCAGCGTGAGACCTTGTCTGGTTCCATGTCTTCCATTCCGCTTTTGGCCTTGTTCAGCTCAATTCGCCTACGCCACCGTCCAAAATGCCGTTCTTCACTTTCGAGGACGCCAAGACCTCTTTCAACCTCTTCTGCTGCATGTACGGCATCGGCACTTTGGGTATGCCAGGTAACTTCTCGCGCGCCGGCCCCGTGCTCGCCGTCATTGCCATGGTCTTCATGGCCTTCGCAAACATCTACTCGTCCGTCAAGATGTCACAAGTCATTCTGCTCGCCCCCAAGTCAGTCAAGACTTTCGGAGACTTGGGCGAGTGGAGCATGGGGAAGTTGGGACGCTGGCTCTGTGTCGTCTCTCAGATGGGATCATGTCTTCTTCTTCCATGCGTCTTTCTGGTGCTTGGTGGCTCCCTCCTTGACGGCTTGTTTCCGGACGCCTTTAGCGCCACTGTGTGGATCATCCTCATGGCTCTCACGGTGTTGCCTGTATGCCTTATCCCGACGCTCAAGGAAGGAGCTGGCGCCGCCTTTGCTGGCTGTATGGGCACCATTCTCGCCGACGTGATCGGCGTGGCTGTCGTCATGTATGGCATGCGCGGCCACCCTACTGTGCCCTCTCCTGATCTAAAAATCTCGCAAGTTCTAGGCTGCTTCGGCAATTTAGCACTGGCCTATGGAGCTGGTATTGTCCTTCCAGATCTTCAACGTCAACACAGTGACCCCACACGCATGCCCCGTGTTGTGCTGGTGACGGTGAGCTTCATCTCATGCCTGTTCATGATTCTAGCTTCTACAGCGTACTCGGCTGTGGGCTGCCAGATTTCGGGAAATCTGCTATTCACCATCTATCCAGATTCGACCACCGGAATGACCTCGTTGGGGTTTAAGCCGAGCTGGGGCGCCGTGGTGCTGGCCTACTTGTTCATGCAGCTACACATCACGATCGCATTCTCTGTGATAATCAACCCGGCGTTTTATATCGCCGAGCGTTTGGCTTTGGGTATGCACAAGAAGGTAACTATGGATATGGAAGTCGGTCGTAGTTACGTCGAGTCCATAACGCCAGCAATTGTCCAAACGGAGTCTCGCCGCAGCTCAAAGATGTCCTATGTTTCCGTGGCCGACAGCGAGCGTGAATTTAAGGAGGACCCAGAGGCGGAGGTGGCAGAGTATCGTGGTGGAAAGAACATCGTTAAGTATATCGCGCTACGAGTCGTCATTATTGTCATTTTGGTGGTACTTTCGATCATTTTCCAAGACCACTTCTCGGACTTCGCCGATTTCGTGGGGGCGTCGTGCATTACGATGAACTGCATTCTGCTCCCAATCGTGTTTTACCTTATGAAGGCCTGGAGATCCATTCCTCTTTACGAAAGGGCTGCTGCTCTAATTGTAACCGTGGTGTGCTTCATTCTAGGGTGCTACGTGACGTACTCAACTGGCAAGAGTCTGTTTACCCCGACTGACGATGACACTGAGTTCCCCTACTGCGGTTCGGAGTATGAAAACCAGATTTACTACAATTACACGGCTGAACACGAGTCTTAGCTCTCCGTGGCCGTCTCATTATGTTGTGTGTGTTAATACGATATTAGTGTATGTAGCAGTGTTGACGAAGTTTGCCAAAAGATAACATAAAAAATGAAAATGACGGTAAATAAATGAGTTTGGGACGAGTTATTTTCGAATCTTCGCAACTTCCTAAAACATGGGGGAAACGTCGCTCTTTCGTGTGGGGGACGACGTCGAGCTATGGCGTGTGTTGGTGCACCTGAGCGTATTGGTGGTTTGTCTGTTATTGTTTGAGCGCATGCTGCACCGTTTGGAAGTCCATGCCGCCGTCTCCACCAAGTATCAGCAGCTGCTGAGCAAAGCGTATCGGGAACTAATGATACTCGGACTCATCGGACTCGGGCTCAAAGTGATCAAGGAAATATCTAGCGTCGACGGTAGCGGTGCTTCCATCACAGCCTTTCAGGTCGCAGACCTGACCATTTTCATCCTGGCGTTGGCACTTATCTTGCAGACCGTCTGCATCTTTCTCATACTGCGGAAGCACAATTTCCTAGCAGATCGAGCCGAACTCCTCCCAACAGAAGACTTGGCTGATATGTTACCTTCGTCAGCTTTGAGCCAAGAGACACAGGAGCTAGTTCAGCTGCGCTTGCTGCGTCATTTGTTCCTTAATCGATTCGAGCTGCCACAGCTCTTCCCATTTGCCAAGTATCTTCGACAGGCGCAAAATAACCAGATCACACACATGACCGATGTGGGTGCACCAATGTGGGCTTTGCTACTTGGCGTGGCTTGGATGCTGGAGGGGATCACAATGGCCTTAAATTATGGGGAGCCAGCGCTGGCAAGGCGGCGTGGGCTTGTCATTGTGCTGATAGGTTTTTCGTGGGGGCTGTTGGCGTTACATGTAGTTGTCTTCACTTTCTTCCGCTCATGTGTTGAACAACTACTGAAGGCTGTTGGAATGTCAGCAGAACAATCCACTTTAGAGAGCCGCCTCAGGTTCATCGCGCGCGAAGAAGCCCGAGCCTGGACTCAAGAGGATGCTGGGAATGCACTTTTGGTTATGCAAAAGGTGCAAGAGCAGCGCGAATTAAGCCACCGCGAACAGCATCGTTCGAGCAACGGCAAATACAGCGTGAAGTCCGAGTCAGCTTCGCTGATAGAGATTCGGTGGTTTTCACGGAAATCGTGGCACTTTACAGTGATGATGCTGTTGATGCTCAATGGTTTCTATCTTGCACTGATAGTACAGTGCGTGTTCTACCAGCTCGAGATTGTTTACGCTGACTTGGGACTTCTGGAGGTGCTGGCTATTCCACTTCCTTTAGCTCTAAATACTTTCCTTTTGCAACCGAAAATATTCCGGAGCTTTGTCCTGGTTAGCAGCATTTTTAGTATGGATAGAACCACGTTGAGCGAGGTTGTTAATCACTTCCGCGAAATCGTAGAGCTGCGCTCTGAATTTGCACTCTTATTGTGCGTAAAAATGCAAGCGAACAGGGTATTAATTGATGATCTGCAAGCGGAACTAAAACGTCGAGATCCGAGCCGATCTGGTTTTATTGGCGTGGAGAAGATGCGAGAAGTGTTGCGAGTCTGTGGTTTGCACCTGTCGAGGTTTAGATTCAACAGCGTTGCCAAACTTTTGTTCGAGCTGAAAGAAATGCGAATCGACTATGGTCAGCTGCTCAAGCTGGTTGCTATCGCTCAGAGTGAGGATCTAAGCGACAGTGCATCCTCTGAACAATTAATATTGATCCATCATCACCCGCTACTTTTGCAGAGTGTACTGAGTGACGACGACGAAGAGGTGGTCACCACGGATGATAACACTTATTCACCACCCCGTCCTGTACTAGCGACGTCGGCGCTCCTTACTGCATCCATCCCCAGTAGCGAATGTGTCAATGAAAGCATAGCAGCTACATCTGACGTAAGCTCCCTATCTACACGACCTCAGTTGGAACGAAAAAGAAGTAAGTTTCAAGGAATGAGCTCACGAACTCTTTGTGATCTCTTTCACCTGGAAAATACAGAAGATCAAGCCGTGACAATAACTTAACTAGATAAAAACGCTGCTGAGCAGTAGAAAATAAAACACGCTAACGTTTCGATTTACAACACCGTGTAAGGCACATTGGACTACTATAATATCTTCCCAGCAACAAGGGGGGGGATCCAGTGCGTGCGGTACATTCAAGTAATACTGGACACCGACACGATATCGGTATAGCAGTGCGTACAATTAATCTGATTTGGGCTGTGATATAGCACCGCGCCGCGGTGAATATGTTCATCATGTTTTTCTCTCCAATGACAACAGTAGATAGTCTGTCATTACGGTATGTTCATTAATAACATTTTTTTTTCTCCCGGGATTACGAGATAATGCGCCGACGTGGGCAGATTCCAGAGCGGAATGAAAGAGTAGATATTGCAGATTAAGAATTTACTGCATAAAACATGAACGGAGAAGTATTATATGGTTTCTTCCTGCTGAACTACAGCGCGAACTACAGGCTGTAGTTCGCGTTTCTCTTATTCAACTTACCTCAGGAATTGGATTATTCGCTAATTCAGTATAAAGACGCTGGATACCCTCGCTCATCCATCTTTTTGCATCACATGAGGTGATTCACCACTCGGAGCGTGTGTGAGAGCTGCGTTATGGCAATGCCTATTCGTTCCGGTGCGATGGCATGGACACAGTGTGCCTCTAAATGAGACGGCCAGTGGCTGCCAGTAGTATCAGGAGAATCCTTTTAGGGATGAGCGACCTTCGCCTGTCAGCATTGTCGCTGACAAATAGTCACTCGCCCGACTCGGAAGGCGAATTGGGATCCTCAACAGCCGCGAACATGAGATCCGGTTCGGGCAACGAAGTACGAATCATACCAAAGTCTTATCGACACCTGCATTGTCAGTGGAGGATGAGCTCCGCGGCTGTTTTGTGGAGCGGGAATGCTCTCTGCAACCTCTCTGCAACCTTGTCAGCTTAGTGCAACCACCAATCGCTCCACTCTCACCGTTCATAGTTTAATGAGGGCTTCGCTGAGCATATAGGAGCAAGGTAGTCTTCGAGTATTCGCTTTGAATCGTTTAGCCTACTAGGGCTTTTCCTTAGCTTAAAAAATACACGCAAAAAAAATCTATCTTGGACAGTATCCTGCATTCAGTGATCATGTACAAAATAACCTTTTTTGCAAAGACCGGCCGACCGCGATGTCGAAGTTTGAATTTGAAGTTGCGTTTGCTGCTTCAAGCACCTGCACTTGTGTTCAAGTTCACTGTAATGTTAAGTGGAATCGAACATATAAGCCCTTCTTCCAGGCTGGAGTTTACTACGTAGTATGCATGTAATAGCCCCCGTGTGCTACTGTACATTATTTGTTGTAGAATACTGTATAAAGTGTATAATACACCCACCTAACAGCGCTGCGATGCAACGAAGACTCGGAGGATGCTTTCACCCAGAGAAGATGCGTTTATTACTTTCTGTACGCAACGCAGAGGCAATAAAAGCAAATGTAGCGGGAGCATGTTTGTATAAGGGTTTTGCTAAGTGTATCTATCGAGGCGATCCTATTAGCGCAGCCATCATTGTTGTGCCTTCATTCAATTGTCGGACAATAGCAGTGCTGGTAAAGGGCTGTCGGTGTATATGTTAAATCGTCTTTTTGTCTTTTTATGGTGTCGAGATGTACAGGACGTCACGTGTTGATTTGCAACAGAATCCGGTGTCGGGGTGCTAGTGCCGGTGCGGCAGCGCACCAGAAAGTGCGGTGCTGGGGATGTAGGCCTGCTCATTGGCCATCACTCTCTGACGTCGCCCACATGGCTGATCTCAAGGTCCCTGCTGCAACCCGTTTACCCCGCCGCTACCGCAGAGATGCGTTTGCAAAAACCGCTTAAGAGAACTTCGCTAGTTGGCCTACTCGTTGAGCTGGGGGCCGACAAGGCAAACCGCCCACCTCATTGAAGCTCAGTTCCCCATTTGCCGCCTTCCCCTCAAGTGACCGATACAACCGACTCCACAATGGCTCGCTCTGCAGTCTTCACGGTTGAAGACGCTAAAGCGGCCTTCAATCTCTTCTGCTGCGTTTACGGCATTGGAACGCTTGGTATGCCCGGTAACTTTTCCCGTGCCGGCCCAGTGATCGCGGTCTTCGCCATGGCATTTATGGCCTTCGCCAACACGTATTCTTCGGTGGCTATCTGCCGTGTCATGCTCATCGCTCCGCGTTCGGTCAAGACCTACGGTGATCTCGGTGAATGGTGCATGGGCAAAACTGGCCGCTACCTTTCTGTCGTCTCCCAGATGGGTAATTGTCTCTTGGTCCCTTGTGTGTTCCTGGTGCTTGGCGGTAGCCTTCTCGATGGTCTCTTCCCGGGGGCCTTCAGTGCCACGACGTGGATTATCCTCATGGCTCTCGCTTGTCTGCCTGTGTGCTTGGTGCCGACTCTGAAGGAAGGAGCTGGTGCTGCCTTTGCTGGATGCATGGGTACGCTTGTTGCTGATGTTATCGGTGTCGCCGTTGTGATGCACGGCATGCGTGGTCACCCGAGCGTGCCGACTCCTGATCTCAACTTCAAGCAAGTCGCTGGAGCATTCGGTAACTTGGCTCTCGCCTACGGTGCTGGTATCGTGATTCCTGCCCTCCAGCGCCAACACAGTGACCCCACCCGGATGCCACGTGTGGTTGGCGTGACAATTGCTTTCATTTCGTGCTGTTTCCTGGTTCTTGCCAGTACTGCATACTCGTCTGTTGGGTGCCAGATCTCGGGTAACCTCCTGTGGTCGATCTACCCCGACTCAGACACTGGTCTGACCACGCTTGGCTTCGCGTCGGACTGGGGTATGGTCGTTCTCGCCTACCTCTTCATGCAACTGCACATTACGATCGCCTTCTCCGTCATCCTGAACCCTGCATTCTACATCGCCGAGCGCATCGTGCTTGGAATGCACAAGCCTACCGTCGCTGATGTGGAGAACAATCTGCTTAGTTATGCCGATGCTGCTACTCCTGGTGATGGCGCAGAGCGCTCGGAGAAGGAGTCCCGTGCCTCCAAGCGCTCGTTTATCTCTGTTGCCGATAACGAGAACGTGCACCTTGGTGAACCGGAGGAGGAGGCCGCTGAGTACCGTGGGGTCAACACCATCAAATACGTAATTCTTCGTATCGTGATTATCATCATCTTGGTGATCGCATCAGTGCTTCTAAAGGACCATTTTTCTGACCTAGCGGACTTTGTCGGAGCGTCGTGTATTACGGTGAATTCGATCCTTCTGCCGATTGTGTTCCTGTTGAAGAAGAAATGGGACTCGCTTCCGATGTGGGAGAAGCTCCCAGCCCTGACAGTCGTTGTGGTGTGCTTCTGCCTGGGCTGCTACGTGACCTACACGTCGGGCAAGAATTTGTTTGCTCCGAGCGACGATGATACGGCGTTCCCATTCTGCGCACCGGAATTCGAGAACACCGTTTACTATAACTACACAGCGGCTCACGAAAACTAATTGTTGTCCTGGAGCTGCTTAGCTTCGCCTTTGAAGTTTTTTCTTCGAGAAGTTTGCATTGAACGAGCGCAATACCAACAATATTCAATACATCTGCCGTTCTGTGCTACTTTGAGCTTCAAATCAGGGCAACTACAATTCATTTTCGTTACTGTAGTTTCATTTTTCCAGCACAAACGGATTTCATTAAAGTCGTCGCGCGACTAAACAGCTCACTCATGGTTTTACCAGCTTAGGTTTCATGTTCGGCCGTGTAGTTGTAGTACACGTTGTTCTCGAATTCCGATGCGCAGAACGGGAACGCCGTATCATCGTCGCTTGGAGCAAACAAATTCTTGCCCGACGTGTAGGTCACGTAGCAGCCCAGCGAGAAGCACACCACGACCACGATAAGCGCTGGGGCCTTCTCCCATAGCGGCATGACGTTCCACTTCTTTTTCAGCAGGAACACAATGGGCAGGATGATCGAATTTACCGTGATACACGAGGCACCCGCGAAGTCGGCCAAATCGTGAAAGTGGTCCTTCAGGATGATCGATGCGATCACCAAGAGCGTGATCATGATAAGCCGTAGAATGACGTATTTGATGGCGTTCGCGCCGCGGTACTCAGCAGCCTCTGCCTCCGGATCGCCAAAGTGTACGTTTTCGTTGTCAGCAACAGAGATGAAGGAGCGACGCTTTGAGGCGCGCGAAGTGTGCGACTGCTTCTCCGAGCGCTCAGCAATATCGACCGGGGTGGACATGTCCCCATAGTTCAACAGGTTGTTCTCGACATCAGCGACGGCTGGCTTGTGCATTCCCAGCATGATACGTTCGGCGATATAGAAAGCTGGGTTCAGGATAACGGAGAAGGCGATCGTAATATGCAGCTGCATGAAGAGGTAAGCAAGGACGACCATACCCCAGTCCGATCGAAAACCGAGTGTGGTCAGGCCAGTGTCCGAGTCCGGGTAAATGGCGTACAGAAGGTTGCCCGAGATCTGGCAGCCGATGGATGAGTAAGCAGTGCTGGCCAGGATAAGGAAGAGAACCGAGATGAACGTCATCGTGACTCCTACAACACGGGGCATGCGTGTGGGATCACTATGTTGGCGCTGGAGGGCCGGAATAACGATCCCGGCACCATAGGCGAGAGCCAAGTTGCCAAACGCTCCAGCAACTTGCTTGAAGTTGAGATCAGGTTTGGGAATGCTGGGGTGGCCACGCATGCCGTGCATCACAACGGCGACGCCGATAACATCGGTGATGATAGTGCCCATACAACCGGCGAAAGCAGCGCCAGCTCCTTCTTTCAGAGTGGGGACTAAACAAACGGGCATGCAGGAGAGTGCCATGAGGATGATCCACGTCGTGGCACTGAAGGCCCCCGGGAAAAGACCATCTAGGAGCGTGCCACCAAGCACGAGGAACACACACGGAACCAGGAGACAGTTGGCCATCTGGGAGATGACCGAAAGGTAGCGGCCGGTCTTGCCCATTGCCCATTCACCGAGATCACCGTACGTCTTGACAGACGTGGGTGCAAGGAGCATGACACGGCAGATAGCCACTGCGCCGTAAACGTTGGCGAAGGCCATGAAAACCATAGCAATGACCGCGATGAAGGGGCCGGCACGCGAGAAGTTGGCGGGCATACCAAGCGTTCCAATGCCGTAGACACAACAGAAGAGGTTGAAAGCCGCCTTCGCGTCCTCCGTTGTGAAGAAAGCTTTGCGCGGCATGGTGGTGTGAGCTGCGACGGTCGAGATGGAGCGAGTGGTCTTGAGGTGTGGTAGTGGTGGATTTGAGCGGAAGTCGGCAAAACCAGAAGTGATGAGGAGGAAGGTATGGTTCATATTTCTTTGATGCTGGATATTGATGTAAATATTGTGAGTCCGCAACCTTTATCTTGAGAGGTTGTTAAGGCGTTGAAGTTGTGGTGTAGCATATGTAAGATTTGTTTCTGATGAAGTTCGAGATGTGCTCAGTTACACGGTAAAGCTTGTCTTGCCCAAGACCACCTTAATTCTGAGCTCTTCAAGAAAAAAAAAAAAATGAAATAAAAAATAATGATTGGCAAAATCAGATAGTTTCAGATTAGGATTATTGAGGCACTTCGCAATCAAAACACACGAGTAGACGTTATTAAAAGAACTCGTGAGCGTGGGCAAGCATTGAGACTTCTTGCTATCGATGATGGAGATGAACGGCCTCTTATTCGATTTCTTTGGTGTTTTCCTGTAAAAACCAATTTTGTATATATTATCAAGTTTCCAATGGGGACGAAGGCACGGCGTGTTGCTAGATTGAAAATGCATATTCATTTTACAACTCAAGACCTTACTTCAGTAGCTAGTTAAATTAAATAAGACAAGCGAACATGTAAACACGATGCGACTTTTCCGTTGCTACATGATTTCATTAGGGTAAAGCATATAAGTCCACGACAGAGTAAAAAAATCTAGAGATTTTAAAAAAAGAAATAAACTTTTTTAGACGAGTGTCGAGATTAAAGTGGTATGTTCGTGTCCGCACTTCAACGTGGTCGCTCCTTTTTTCTCACATTGTTTGATTAACATTTTAATCAGTTGCGCACATAGCATGGCCTCGGGAATCACGGTAGCACGAGTCGTGATACCAGAGCAACGAGATGTGGAAGGTGGGTTCAAGCCTATATCTGTGTACTGGTTGTACATGTATTTTAGAGTCAAGCCTCCTGGTACTCCCAACGTTGTGCTGCCGAAAGCAAAAATGCCTACAGTATTGCGTACATGTAGCTTCCAAAAAGTTTCAGTGCTCTAAATACAGTATTGCTCTTTAAGACTGCATTTTAATCTCACTCGTATTGTTATGATGACTTGAACAAAAGTTGTGCGCATCACTTGCTACTTCTTGCATGCGGTGAGGGTAGATGGACTTTTGGAGATGCGTGTACCTTTTGCAGTGTCCAATTTACCTGTGCATACCAGATAGAATCTATCATAGATCTACCGTGCATTACTACCAGCGAGATCCGGAGAGAGAAAGGTCTTTCCCGCACGACGGAAGACGATCTTGATCGATTAACTAGTCAAAGTGCAACAAAATCCAGAGCATACATCGAAAAGGGTGGCGTTTGTTGCAGTCTCATAGGATAGCTTCCTCGTGACGCGCAACCGATGCCCTGTATCTTGCCGCACCGAAAGGCTGCTGACTCGCGGCAAATCATCAAATGGACACAGCATCACCTCAATTCTCAACTCTTCACCTCGCTTTGGCGTATTTAACATGTGTATACGATATTTATTGTTTTTCATCAATGCAACACACCGATAGACAACTTCGCGCTGCCAATGCAGCTTCCTCCTCATCACTTCTGGTTTTGCCGACTTCCGCTCAAATCCACCACTACCACACCTCAAGACCACTCGCTCCATCTCGACCGTCGCAGCTCACACCACCATGCCGCGCAAAGCTTTCTTCACAACGGAGGACGCGAAGGCGGCTTTCAACCTCTTCTGTTGTGTCTACGGCATTGGAACGCTTGGTATGCCCGCCAACTTCTCGCGTGCCGGCCCCTTCATCGCGGTCATTGCTATGGTTTTCATGGCCTTCGCCAACACGTATTCTTCGGTGGCTATCTGCCGTGTCATGCTCATCGCTCCGCGTTCGGTCAAGACCTACGGTGATCTCGGTGAATGGTGCATGGGCAAAACTGGCCGCTACCTTTCTGTCGTCTCCCAGATGGGTAATTGTCTCTTGGTCCCTTGTGTGTTCCTGGTGCTTGGCGGTAGCCTTCTCGATGGTCTCTTCCCGGGGGCCTTCAGTGCCACGACGTGGATTATCCTCATGGCTCTCGCTTGTCTGCCTGTGTGCTTGGTGCCGACTCTGAAGGAAGGAGCTGGTGCTGCCTTTGCTGGATGCATGGGTACGCTTGTTGCTGATGTTATCGGTGTCGCCGTTGTGATGCACGGCATGCGTGGTCACCCGAGCGTGCCGACTCCTGATCTCAACTTCAAGCAAGTCGCTGGAGCATTCGGTAACTTGGCTCTCGCCTACGGTGCTGGTATCGTGATTCCTGCCCTCCAGCGCCAACACAGTGACCCCACCCGGATGCCACGTGTGGTTGGCGTGACAATTGCTTTCATTTCGTGCTGTTTCCTGGTTCTTGCCAGTACTGCATACTCGTCTGTTGGGTGCCAGATCTCGGGTAACCTCCTGTGGTCGATCTACCCCGACTCAGACACTGGTCTGACCACGCTTGGCTTCGCGTCGGACTGGGGTATGGTCGTTCTCGCCTACCTCTTCATGCAACTGCACATTACGATCGCCTTCTCCGTCATCCTGAACCCTGCATTCTACATCGCCGAGCGCATCGTGCTTGGAATGCACAAGCCTACCGTCGCTGATGTGGAGAACAATCTGCTTAGTTATGCCGATGCTGCTACTCCTGGTGATGGCGCAGAGCGCTCGGAGAAGGAGTCCCGTGCCTCCAAGCGCTCGTTTATCTCTGTTGCCGATAACGAGAACGTGCACCTTGGTGAACCGGAGGAGGAGGCCGCTGAGTACCGTGGGGTCAACACCATCAAATACGTAATTCTTCGTATCGTGATTATCATCATCTTGGTGATCGCATCAGTGCTTCTAAAGGACCATTTTTCTGACCTAGCGGACTTTGTCGGAGCGTCGTGTATTACGGTGAATTCGATCCTTCTGCCGATTGTGTTCCTGTTGAAGAAGAAATGGGACTCGCTTCCGATGTGGGAGAAGCTCCCAGCCCTGACAGTCGTTGTGGTGTGCTTCTGCCTGGGCTGCTACGTGACCTACACGTCGGGCAAGAATTTGTTTGCTCCAAGCGACGATGATACGGCGTTCCCGTTCTGCGCATCGGAATTCGAGAACAACGTGTACTACAACTACACGGCCGAACATGAAACCTAAGCTGGTAAAACCATGAGTGAGCTGTTTAGTCGCGCGACGACTTTAATGAAATCCGTTTGTGTTGGAAAAATGAAACTGTATTGCGTCCATGCACTTTCCCTAGTATGACTCATACAGTTTGACGCTTCATGCAATTGAATATCGTCGGTATTGCACTCGTTGAATATTCCCACCTACTTATACATTAGGTATTGAAGAGCCACAAGGTTGTAAATTACAACATACTAATAAACTAGTTGAACTTGTGGGAGGAACTTGGTGGTAGTTAAAGAAGCTTATCCGGGCGTTATGGGCACTACTTGAATTGCATCATAAGTAATTGAGCTGCTGTCCATTGTGGAGGCGAGGCTGCCGACAATGCAATATCGTATTTCAAGGCTTGGGAAATTATTTTTTAGTATCCCATCGGAACACAATACCATTATTTTACTAGTATGGTAGCATCTGCGGCGATTGGTCGCCTTCAGTTGCTAAAAGGGGTATATTTTCCGAAAATAACTTCGGCATCGCCCAAAACCGCATGTCAAACTCTATGTGTAATGTGTTCTCCCGAGCGTTCCACCTACAGACAACATACCCTGAGAAAACTGTACCCGCCATGGTCTAATATCGGCAATTCAAACAGGGAATTGAATCAATTTGATTTTTTTTTTCAATTGGGGTTCACCACACCTAATAAATACGCTAAAACGTGATTGTTTGTGCTATTCAACCCCATCCCGATTCACTGGCAAGATGCTACAGAAGCTGGACTTATCTCCACTCCCCATCCGCATCAATACGATGAACGACAGCGCTGGAGTGAAGAAGAAGATGAAGCAGGAACACGAGATTGGAGAATTGCAGCGGCGTGCTCCTGATAAGAAGCCAAGAGTGAGCTGGAGAACGAGACTCCCATTGTGATCGAAGACGCTGCTTATATCCTGGATCATATGCTCGGTGTCACGCTGTTTCATGAAGTCTGCGAGCGTTACGGAGAACACGATTGTCGGCGACACCGTAATCTACGGCGATGTGGCCTACTTCAACGAGAAGACAGGTCACGTAGTGCCTGGTGACGTTGACTCACTTCCGATTTTACAGCGAAAGCCGCGACGAGACGTCGTGATTGGGAGGAGCCTTCTCCAGAAGAGGGTGTGAAGTAACACAAAAGATCAGAACTTACAGGAGTTTCGGACTAAACTACTTTATTTGAGTATACGAGCCTCTATTTGGAGCACGGCCATCTGCTCGCGGAACGCCACAGGCTCAGCATGGAGGGGCAGGATGACCCACCGGGGAGAAGTGACTGGACGATGCATCCTGTAGGAAATCACGCAGAACGAGAAACAACAGTGGTGATTGATCTCACAGGACAGGAGGAAGAGAAGGAGGAGCCATTGAAACCGGCTGACCCCGGGAACTCGGAAAAGGAACTCAAGAATCAAGGAAAATGGAACCAGCAACAGCAGTATGAGGGAGAGGAAAAACTACAAAAAATGAGGCGCAGTTAAAAGGAGGGGAACGTGAGGAGAAAGAGGAAGGACGAGAACCACCGCGATGTGATGATGAGAAAATGGAAGACCTCAGCTTTAAAGAAATGCATGCGTATCTGGTGGATCAATTTCAGAACTTACCACCGAAACAGGCCATGGAAGTTGACAGTGGAGTAGACTTCGTACAGCAAATGTTTGAGGAGATCTTTTACACACACCCGGAAGAATTCCTGTTGCCAGCAAGACGCAAGTACAGATTTCTCTCTCCAATCCGGTAGAGTGGTCCGACACTATCTTAGGATTTGATATGTTATTTAGAAAGGATCGATATGTAATGCATCCACAAGGTCAACTGTGAAGCGCGGACTATGATGTCCTCTACTGCGACGTCGGCTTCGTAGCTAGTCGACTCAGTCTCACTATTACCCTCCTTCACACCATTAAATACTATACCTGTGTGGCGAAAGCAGTTGGCGACCGTCACCTTTCCTTGAATATCAGTCCATATTTCCTTGCTCTATTCCATAGTCTGTAGCTGATCGACTACGTACGCCTTTTTATCAATAACTTCTCCCTGTTTGATCTTGTCAAACACCCATAGGAACTGCTTCCTCCTGTACGCTTGCTTGAACGCAGCGATGATTCCAGCGTCTATCGGTTGCAGGAACGCGGTAGTGTTCGGCGGCAAAAACTCTACACGGACATTAGTGCAAACTAGATCCCCTGAGTTGTGGGAAGACGCATTATCAACGAGAAATAGAATGTGCCGTCCGCGTGCACGCATGTCTCGATCTAAATCGAGCAGCCATTGTCGGAATACTTGACCTGTCATCCAGG